GGAGGAAGGGGGAACAAAGCTGAAGTCTGGAGGAGTTACAAAAGAAAACCCACAGAACAAAGAGGGGGCTTAGAGAAAGAAAGAGAAAAAGAGAAAAGCAAAAGTACATTGAAATATTGGCACAAGATTTAAATAATTTTTTAACTATATAATTCATTGATAATAAGGAAACTAAGGTTCCCTACTAAGGATGTCTGGAAGGAAATTGACTGTAATAACTAGAAAATCTTAACCTATGATTTAATTTTTAACAATTGCATTTTTCAAAGAATAAGAGAAGCAAATTAAAACTGCAGACTCTTGCAAATATTTTCAGATATAGCAAAGGGGTTTTTTTCTTCTTAATTTTGCGTGCCTCACCTAAAAACAGTACAAAGGCAGGAACTCATGCATACATAAGAATTCCTCTTCAGCTCAGGAAGACTACAGTCACACGCCCTCAATTAGGAATACAGTCTAAATACCAGTTTAAATGGGATGTCATAATATGCATGGCGAAAAGTATGCATTTTGCCCTGATAATCATTAACATCAATAGGAATTCCTCAGCTAAACTACACTGTCTAAGGATCAAACAGTGCTTCTCATCTTTGCAGTTTTCCCTGACTCAAGAGAAAATCCTCAAGCAAAAAAAAAAGTGTAAATTTCAACTAGGCAGAACCTGCACATCATTCTAATCCCTGTAACAGGAAATTCCTTTAACTCAGGTGAAAGACTTCCAATGCATTTGCTCTACTGCCAACTAACTTAGGGTAATCTGTCGCCACATTTTTAAATGCAGAATTAGATAAAATGCACTAAAATGGCTTTAAGCGGAACTACATTTTGTTGTCACATTCTCACATTTTGTCACTCTTTGGAAGAAGCAATGAACACATTTTCATCTTTACATAACATACAAAAACTAATTAAGTTAAGACAATTGCTCCCTACTGTGCACTTAGCTGAAGTCCGTTCTCATTTAGATAAATAATATTCTAACCTTTAAATAATACCCATTAATACCTATCGTTATTAAACAATACAGTTCCTTAAAAATGTAGCAGGCTTATACTCAAATCACATTAAGCTGTTTCTCTGAATTTATTCTTGTGACTACAGAAGAAATACAATTGTCTGGCTTCAAAATGGTTATTTGCAGCCATGAAGACAAGAATTATTTTATGCAAGGAATAAACAGAATCCATAGTAAAGGTAATGGCATGGTTTTGTGCATCTTACCTGAATGAGAATAAATGCATTTATGACAGAGAAACAGACAGCATAAATAAAATTAACAGGTGACACAGTATTCTCACATCTATAATCTAGGAGTCAGTACAACAGTAATACAAAAGTAACAGACTCTTGCATACTAAAAACTGCCCTCTGTTCCTTCACATTGATGATCCTTTCCTGCTTCTAAAACTGAATGGCTTAACTGAGAATGCATGAATTTACCTGAGTACAGGAGCCAGCAACCTCAGGTGATAGTTCTGTGTGTGCAAATGTCACCCAAACAAAAAAGGCAACTCTAGTGAATTAGTATGACCATTCTCAGGGATAATTAACTGCCTTTACAGCTAACAAATGAGCAAGAGTAGCATGAGGCAATAAGTATATTTATTGTATATATGAATATACATATAAATATACTTCAGGCGCTACAGAAGGGGTAGATGGTCCTTTCCTAGCCTGTTCATATATATTAATACCATGAGAATTTTTTGTCTGATTTAACTGGAGGTTTGATTTTGTGATAAACTGTGATAAACCAGCATGGGCAAGGGAATCCTACCGGATTTCTACAGATAGCCTTTCGTGTTGTCCATTAAAAGAAAGGCTAGATTCTTTTGTTCATGAACAACTGAGGTAACACTTGCTTTATTTTACTTCATCAACAGTAGCATGACCTGACAATGTATCTACTCCTAATCTAAAAGTAAAAAAAGTCAGATGATGCTTGACCTCGTGTTTTAGGTACATTCAAATCTATGTTTCACAAAAAAAAACAGATTTGTCAATATGACTGTGTGAAGTATCAGTAAATTGGAATAAAATACCGAGAACTATTTTGCAGAAGAATGTGAACTAATCTTCAATTTTTATTTTATTTCATTAAATGGAAAAAATTGTCCTCAAATCTAGTATAAGAGTTAATATTTTTCTGTGAACAAAACACGATTTGATCATTGTACATTCAGAAAACCCTGGAGCTGAAAAATTAAGAACAAATGTACCATTTCCCCAGAAGTCATCTCAATTAACTTCTACACTGGAAGAAGTAAACATCTAACAGTTAATCCAATCATATTAAAAGTGTGTGTTAAGTATCAAAAAAGAGTGGGTGACTTATTTAAGACCATAGGAATTCCTAATTAAAGTGGGAAGAAAAATTAACTGTCTTCATAAAATGAAGATCTCGTTCTAAACAAAATAGTAGTTACTGAAAGGAGAAGTACATTCCTTGACAATAAAAGATATTACAAAGTGATTTGTTAGGATTCATATCCAAAATTAAAAATCAACCGAAATGCCACATGATTTTCTTTCCTTCAATAGATAAATGAAAACATGACTATTACCAAAAAAAGAATGCAATCCTTCTTGCATTGTTCTGTGAAGCAACATTAATTTGGTATTGCAATTCAACTTCAAAACAGCTCAAAGACTCTGTTAGCAAGAAATGATGACCCTCCCCAAGTCTTCAGTATTTTATTGGATGTTTTTCAGAAACACTTTCCCGCTTACTCTGTTGATGTTGATTATATATGCTAAAAACCAACTGCTTTGAACAAATAATAAGTTGATGCCTTTTCAAAAGATACCCTCATTAAAAAAATCCAGATCCACACTCATGTGAATAGTATAGTGAAAAATATTAAGTTGAAACCCCAAATCCACTTGAATTCAGCTACAAATCCCCTAAGTCTATTGTACTCACTAGCTTCACCTCATGCTTGATAAAATGTAGTGAATATGACATCAAATAATCACAAAACTGAAAAAATGGTTGTGCCCTTCTTCAATGCAGCAGACTTGGTTGGCTCCCTTTCAATGAACTACGGTGAGGTTTTTGCATTCAGATTACATAGGAAGAGGTCAAAGAAACCATCTACGTGGAGGCTCACATTGAAGGCTGAAATGAACTAAAACCAAAAGTGCAACTGCTGCCCCTTCACTTACTTGTTTCCTTCCTTAAACAGAAGTTCAGCCCAAAATGTACAAACTTCAACTGAAGACCAACAAGATTCTCTCATCCTAGCAGTATGGTTAGTCTAACATCAACTTGGTAAAAATTAACAGGACAGATGTAAAACTGGACAGTGTGACTCACAGACAGGCTGCAGACAAAATTAAGGAAATTTTGCTTTAAAAAAAAAAAAGAAAACCCTCAGAGGAGCATGCTGACACTTTAAAAGAAAACTGGCACATATATTAAATTAAGTGTCATCCAGAGTCAACCTAGGTAGGAGCAGAACTGTGGATATCTATTAGGTTTCATACAAGTCGGAGAATTGAGACTTTTTTGATCAGTTTGGCTTAAAAGAAAACCTGTCAGATCCCACCAGTATTCTACATAAGATCAGATGCACTTTCTCACCCCTTCAACTAAAATGAGAGTATCCCGCATTTATGTTTCTTGCATCCTGTGAAGCATGAAGCGATTGAACTACTGCTGTTGCAGAGTAATACGTTGGTGGACAGTACAGCTGTATCTCAACTGGTCTAAGGGAAGAGAACAATGTGTTTCTGCTTACAACCAATAATAACCAAAACAAAAGCAAAGAAAACTAAGCAAGGCATGCTGTCTAAACAATTAAAGCCTCAGTGCTATAAAGAGGCAAAGGATGAAGAAAAGCACAAGATATGATAATAGAAAAGCAAAGGGAGATCATAAGCTTAAAGAAGAAGAAAAAAATGGAACAAATTCACCCAGAACAGATACGCATTGAGACACAGCATAACAGATAGAACTCCTGAGACACAGTGAAAGAAAACAGAAACAAAAGGAATAAAGAGGAATTCAGACAAAGAGTAAATGAAATGCACAGAGATACACTACTTTCTTACAATAACTTATTCTCTATTATCCTCATTCTAATTAGGAGAGGAAGCAAGTCTCTGAAGTTATTGAAATATTATGGAACAGAGCGAGACAAGCAAAGAAACAGAAGCTCACAGACACAGCAGACAAAAATAGGTCCGCCAGCTTCATCATCACCAAGACTAGACTGGACTCTGTGGTCCTTCATGGGAGTCTTCATACTGTTAAAATCCATTAATTTTTATTTTGCTGTTATTATCAGCCATTGTTTGCAGAACTGCAAATCTAAGATTTGCTCTTTGACGGGAATGTTATATATTTTCCAGAGATAGGCCATGTGGTAATTTTTATCATTAGAATTTTAGAAATCATGCTGGTTTCCACTTATGTTGCAATAGGATTAAAAAAAAAAAAAAAGAAAGAAAAAAAAGGATACCATCTTAATTTTAAATATCCACAGACTAATTCTAAACTTCAAAACTTTTAATCTGCTATTTCCATTGTAAACAGTAAATCATTTTAGATGCAGACGGGCATTGAATAAACACCTAATGTTAAAAGCAAAACATAAAAATAGTTATGAAACAGAAAACGCAATAGCATTAGGTTTATCTGAGAAATTCATGTGGTAGGAGTGAGATCCTAGTTCACACAGCTACACTGTAAGACTGATTTACTTAAATCCCTTTGCAAGGATTAGAAATTGTCACAGATGCTTATTAGCACTTCAGCTAAACGCATGCAAATATCAAAAAAATTAAGCAGGATGCAATTCAACTTCTCATCAGCATTCCTAATAGAATACTGAATAACAAGGAGATTTTAAGTTTGGCAGAAAGACAAACTTGCTAGACATGTTTATAAACCTCCTGACAGATCTGAATCTGCTTAGCTTCAAAAAAAAAAAAAAATCCTAGCTAAAGCCCTTTTTAAATACTTGACAGAAAACAGTAGATAAATTTGTAATACTCACAGTTGCCACCTGCTCTGTTACCCCTCTGTCCCACTGAGTTTTCAGATTCTTTGTATGGAAATTGAAGTGTAGTATCCAGACTTCGAAAGCCTTCTTTAAGAGAGTGGTGCTTATAGTAATCTACAAGTTCCTTGCAGAAAGGAAAACACTGTCATCAGAAATTGAAATCACATCCTTTTCATGATTCTGGTGTACAGTCCAAGACAGTTTTATAAAATAAAGTCACTGCTATGATCCCACAGAGCACATACATTAAGAAATCAAATAGCCTAATAAATATTGATTGCTTTTATATTGCAACTTAACTGTGTAATTTAACCCTTACCCTGAAGTATAGAACACATAAAGTGAAACCTACTTTTTCAGAACAATGATACACATGCCTTGTTTTAAAAAAAAAAGTTTTATAGTCAGAGTCAACATATTGCTTTGCTGAACAAAGCTGAGCATGTATTTGCTTTTCTGAAGTCAGGCAGAAGGCAAGGTTAGTTGTTCATTAAGCATGTAACTGTAACTGCCTTTGTTGTCTCAAATTTCTTCTGCAGTGATAAGTGGTGCTCATTGAGTAATGAATTGATAAGCACGTGGACCTCAACAAAGCATATAAGCATTGCATATAAAATAACGGAAACGTGACTGAGTAGATAAGTGGACCATGTAAAAATTTCAAGGCTTTTCTATTAAAATCTGTTGGTTTTTCCACTTCAGAATGAACACCAAAAAAAAAAATCCATCAGTTCATATACTCCTGCAGCCCAATCCAAAAAAAAATCTGCAATTCTATCTGTATTCATTAAACTGGCTCAAATAGTTTATGTAACCAAGGAGATAAATTACTTAAATTACTATTCTAACAAAGACAGTACGTATCCAAATACTGACAGCTCATATTCTTCCTTTGATATCTTCAACCTGTCACTGTCTCTTAGCTTTGAATCAGTTCTAATAGTGACAATATCATACAGTTCATATACAGAGCCTGGAATAAGATTAAAAGTGACTAGACAATTATAAGCAAACATATTTCATTTGATTCATGATACTTCAACTGTGGGATTTCACTTTTCAGAAATGCAATCAAAAAGTAATGCAGTTACTGTAAATCCTTCACTCTTTGCAGTACCTACTCAGTCATTCTATTCTACATAGTTACATCCTGATCCCCAAAATGAAGAGTGGACCTAGCCAAGCATAGGTTAAAATAAGGAAATAGAACCATGTTCACTTATTTCCTTCTAGTTATAAATAAATAAATAAATATTAAAATAAGAAAATACAACTTCCTGTGATCATTATTAAATTCAGACAACAAAATTACTCCCAAGATCCAACGCATGCATCACATTTCTGATAACTGTCCAAGGCTTATCTCCTGAGGCAAATTCTGAGGCAAATTCTGGAGCACTTCACTTCCCATGCTGTAGACTGTTTCTAAGTTAGAATCTAAAGCTATGAAAAATCTACACCTGCTTTTAAAAGCTCATCGTCACAGACTGCCAGACACTACAAGCAAGCAGGAAGGCCAGGAGAATAAGAACTATTTGGGCTTTGTTATCTGACATTAGCACAGCAGGCAAGTTACACTGTCTGCAAACAAATTTTCTTTCACGTATCATTCAAATTACCAAGGCAACAGAAACAGTCATTTGTAAGCAAGCAGCATTTAAAGTGGGACTCAAATTCCTCTTCTTTTCTACACCACTGTAAGGGATACATTCCATACCTAAATATAAATATGTAATTTTAAGCACATGTCACCATGACATAAAGCATAAACCTTAAGAATCAAGAAATACCTTATTTGCAGATATGGACATAATTCAAATCTCTCGTCCTTCTGCATTTCCACATACCAAAGTAGCACACACTTGAACAGCAACAGTTACACAGAAATCACACATTGTTAAAAACCTAATCAATATTTACCATTAAATTTTTAAATTTTCTATTTTCTGCAATGTGGAAGTAGCCATCTCGTGTTAAAATCTTGATGTGTTTCACTTCGTTATTGTACCTGTGGGCAATGAATAACTTATGAATATAAATGCGTTTTTAATCAGGGGCAATCAATAGTTACCTGAAGGCATGCCCCAGTAACGTTATCCAAATAAATTCTTAAGACAAATGCACATCTACGTCAACACAAAGTTGACATCTAATTAAAAATATATATTTATTCAACTTCAGCTGAAGAGGTAATCTGTGTTCTGAAAAGAAGTTATAACTAACCACTCTAACCAGGAATTTCCACATATTGTTTGCTTCTCTATTCATTTTGATAATCAACATGATAGCAAAGACAACCCTCAAAATGATGAAGTTTACAAACACATTCTACTGAAATGTCTGAGATGCTGAGACTTTCAACAAATTTCCACTGAAGTCAAGGACATCTGCTTAGTCTTACCCAATACATTAAAATGTCTTTTTTTTTTAAATTGTTTACATCAGCATCAAAAAACTACTGCTACTTCCTACTATAAATCCCACGTGGTGTGTGTGATTATAGAAATTGAATTTTTTTATTATTTTTTTTTTCCTTATTGGCCTCATATATTGAGCTATCTTGTTGTAAGTTAAAACAAAACAACATAACCCACTTACTTAATGCTAATTGCATATTCTCCTGACTCTTTAGTCCTGTGTCGCACCAGGTAAGTGCTATTTATTCTGTTAATAAGTTCACTCTCTGCTTGCAATCTTTCCATTGCTCCTGCAAACCTGCAACACAGAGAACAAAAATATTGCCTATGAGCTCTCCAAAGGTACCTCAATACTCTTCCTGACATGATAATCTAAAAACGCGTCAATTAGAATTGAATACTACTTCCAAATCTTTCAAATAAAGCATGAAGAAATTCTGCAATCAGGTTAGGAAAGTTCTTAATTAGAAATTGTCAAATACAATATCTGTTGAAGAAAGTAACTGAGCCTTAGCATTAGCTGAATGACTACTACCTTGAATACCTCAAAGACAAATGCTAGTAACACTAGGTCAAAGACGACCTATACAAAATTTTAGAATATTTATTTGGTTTCGTAATTAATGAAAACCTCTTATAGCTAAAAAGTAATGAGTAGACCAAACTTACACACACACAAAAAAAAAGATAGTCAGCCTAGTATGGTCAAATTTGAAACATCTATTGCTGAGACTTGAAAGCTAAAATAAATAAGTCACTGATACTGCTGTCTGTTTGCATGAGCAGATTTGTGCTCCTGCTCTGAATGGGACTTCATGAGAGACTGTCTGCAAATATTTATGTACAAAACTAGAGACAGAACTGTTAACTGAGAAGGTGGAAAGTAACCTAGCTTACAGTTTGATAATGCTTATTTTACCATTTTAGATATCAGTCAAAATTTAGTCAACATGAAGACCATTGCTCTGCAAAATGCATCACTATCTATTAGAAAAGGTGTTTGAAATCTATCACAGAGTACAAGACTTTACAGCAAGTTTCAGCCTGAAGTCATTTTTCAGTTAAGCATCGCAAAACCTTAGAGACTAAAGACTTATCCCAGTGATGCGCTTTCTCTAAATACAATTATAAATACAGCAAGTGTTAGAGTTGTAGTAAAAATACCTATTTATAATATTAAACATTCTATTTAGATTGTTTTGAGAAATTCATGTTTGTTTTGTTCCAATTCTGATTTCATTTCAGACAAGCTGGCGAAAATCAGAACTCATCTGTAAATGACAAAGTTTAAAACTATTGAGAGCACATGTGATGATTAATCTGCTCTTTCAGAATTAGCACGTGTTTTCCAGGGTATGGTGAATTCTAGTAAAAAGAAGTCACTCAGTACACTCCACATGCTCCAGACCAGCACAGGGTGTAGTTTTGATACACTGCCCTTTTACAGGGCTAATGGTTTTGTTTATTTAGGGTTTTTTTTTATTTTTTAATTAAAGGAAAAGCAAATTTATTCATGAAAGAAAATGTATTTAAAATTAATCCGTCTCTTTAGTCACTTAACACAAAATCTACTTGCATGCTTCATATTACACGTATCTCGTACTGTTCCATTTCAGACCCCTGGGACTAAGGCTGTGCAGCTACAGACTTGTAAACAGAACATCTAAACCATTAAGCACATTGTTACATTATAAATGCTTTTAGACAATCTATGGTGTTATTTCCCCAAACCATCGCACAGTGCCTTCTTCAGAAGCCTAAAAAAGTTAAACCAACACAAATTAAATTGTAATAAGCAGTAAGCAGTTATCTTTTTATGACTACTTCTTAGAAAGAGACTTGTAAGACTAAAGAGGGACTCACCACAGTTGCGACGAGTAGTCAACTGGTTTAGGAACCTAGGACAAAGGAAATATAAAAGAATGCAGATCAGGATTTTTTTTCTAGTCAACACACAAATGAGACATTTGAAGACATTGAGTATTGAACTAGTATCCAACATCCACAAAAAACAAGGAAAAAGAAACAGACAATCTAGTCTGAAAGACTGTTTTCATTTTTCAAGAAACTTAAAATAAAAAGCAAACGTTACATGTTGTTCTGAAAGTAACATAATATTTTAACTTAAATGCTGCTGTGACATTTTTATTACTCATATATATACATGCATACATTCTATATAAATATGTACGCGTGACGTGCATATGCACACTTTTTTTAAAAATCAGAATTGTCAATTTTATTTCGTTAGCACCTACATTAAGTTTCATACACAAAATAATCTCATGGAACATATTGTGGAAAAGTATCTTTAAAATGCGCAAATGTATATTAACATATACAAAATTCACTCTGTGTTTCCAGGATTGTGGCCTTCAAAAAAACTGCCTACACGGAATTTAGTACATAATCTCCAGAGAGAGAGAAAATTAATCCACGGATTATATATTGCATAGCTTCATTCATATCTTTGTAGTTTGTTTTACTGCTGCAATGGATTTTAATAAGTATGGAATTAAATGTTAAAAATCAAGCAAACTACCACCAGTTTGCAAAATGACTGTTATATGTTTATATAAGCATATGCATAGATAATGCTAATATATGCCAAAGAAAAAGCACAGTATAGAAACATCCATGATAATCAGCTTTCCTTCTTGACCACCTCTCACTGTTGTCTCATGCATCAGTATTACCCTACTCCTTTAAAATAACTTGCAAGGTACTGAAAAAGTCATTTTAGTAGAAGCTCAGCATACACTTTGCAGATTTATAACCTGATATCACACATTCTTAGATCAGCAAATGATTTTTTTCTCCTAGAGAATCATAGATTATTTTGTTTTCTAGAATATAATACCGCAAAATTAGTGTCATTCTTCTTACAATTTTTAATGTACATGGACTGTATTCATCAGAGACTTCCAAACACAGATCATCTCAGAAAGATATTATACAGGTCTACCAATGTAAGATAATTGAAATTAATTACTTCTCCCACAAGCTTGTATGTTAAGTAACAAGTAGATATAAGCAGATGATATCTACCAAGTCTTCTATCATGTCTCGACCTGACCTTGAACCAAAGCACATAATTCCTTCAGATGAACAAAAATTTGCTTAGTTCACAAAGCTGTGCACACTGCTTTTAACATAACATTAATTCAAACTAAACACATCACCATCCATTTGAATGCCTCTCAATCTAAGATATTTATGTTAAAATTGTGAATTACACAGGATGGCCCTAAGCCTACATTTTCTCTAAAAAACAATGCAGGCACTATTGCGGAACTCAAAGTTCTGTGATAAAAAAAATGTGGTCACATGCTCAGCTTGCACAGCAGTAAATCTATCCAGGTATTACAACAGTAATTAAGAAAGCCTAGCTTTCGGAAATAAGAAAAAGGAAGAACAAACACACGCATCAATCCCTAACAATGTAGAAAAAGGGTTCACAAATAGTAGTACCATACTGCTGGTGGCATGCAAACCCCTTTGAAGTGTAAGGGCATAACACATAGCTAAGTACTACCAGTGTCAGTAGCAGTGGCACTATCACTAAACCTACTAACAGTGTTAATCAGGCATCTCTGTCTTTAAATATGAGACTTGGGGGAAAAAAGTAACAGATTATGAACATGCTGACAAAGAACTCCTGTGAGAGATATTTTAGTGAAGCAACCAAATGAAACATTCAAAGGCCAGCTGGGCATTTACAGAGTCTTGATGTGCTGCAAGATATTTTGATAATAATATATTTTTCATTTACAGAAAAATTGCACTTTGAAAGATCTGCATTACCTGCCATAAGGTTAATTAAGTAATTTCAGCAATAGAAGAAAAAATAACAGTTAGAAACACAAACATTTTTATTTCTCAACTAGCCCTACCAAGTTGGAAAGGATATACAAAATTCAAAGACAGTTTGAAGTCCGCACTTTAGAGTAGGCAAACTATAGATGGGTAGTCCTTTTCATTAATTTCAAACACACAATTTCATTGTCATGAATAGAGTAAAATCAAATGCTATTCCCAAAGCTCCTAGCTCACATTGTGCTATATAACCACTGCCTCAACAGAAATGAGGAAACTGGAGGAGAACTAGAAGGATCAAGCATTGCTGTTGTGGTGCAGAAAAGGTCTGCTGACATATACTACTTATTGAAAACAGGAAGAAATTGTTTATAGGTACATCTGTGAAAAGTCTGGAAAATATATATTCTGAAGCTCAGCAGTTTTTCATTCAATATTCATTTCCAAAGTCTTTGATACATATATTTCAAACTGTTTCCAGGCATTTTTATATCAGTTGGTTGTAAAGACTGCTAGACTTAATAATAATAGTAAATGTTATAGCATGTTAAAAATCTGATTGATGTTTCAATATCTTTAACTGCATCATTTGTCATAATAAGATGCTGATATTTTATCCTTCCAGGTTAATAGTGGTGAAGCATCAATTTATCTTTTTGGTCTGATCATGACATTGGTTGGTTACATTTCATGAATAATATTTATTCACTCTGTAAAACTGTATTATTTTCAACACTCTTCTTAGTAGTATATTTCTGAATTTAGCAGGAAGTTCTATCACTAGAAAGCAATTTTCACAACACCACCAACAGCATTTTTCATAAGTCTGAATAACCCACTTCCTCTGTTTTAGAGCATAGTGGTGATTCCTAAAATGCTGGAGGTTGCTGTCAGTGATAGTACAGTATGACTGGATGCCTTTAGGAATGTAAAGCCAATCTATAGCATGTCCACTATCACTGGTACTTATGTATGGTGCAAGCAATCCACATATTTTGTAGTGAGCAAGGAGCGGGAGAAGGAGGTTAAGCTCATATAATATTTTCAACGTAATTACAGATCTGTTCTATTACCCAATTTAGCATATCTAGTGCCTACAAAAACTCACGTGCATCTCTCTTCAAACAAAATTCTTAAAACATATGGTACTAAAGATGACTCAAGATATCTCAATGTATTTATTCTTTGGAATGACATGTATTTGCTTTAAAAATGAAGGGACAATATAAGCCTTAAAGGCATAAGAAAATGCAGCCAGTAACAGATGCTGCCATCTACTTATAAATCATGCAAGTGGCATCTTGTCGGCTGTAATCAAAGAAATTCCAATAATAAGTCAAACTTGTGAATGCAGTTAAAAACTTTAAGCTGTCTCAAAGAAAGGAATATGATTCATCACTGTTATTGATGTACATGAATTATCTCAGTTAAAGACCAAATAGTGATCTGACGCACAGCATTATAGAGGACAGCATGAAGGATCAAGCATGAAGCATTTTAAGGCAGTCATTGCATCCATATAGGAAATCTTGAGCATGCATTGTGAAACATTCTAGAATGAAATAAAAGCAACTAGGAACACACATAGATGAAATTAATCAAGTAGCCTAAATTCAATGTTTTGTTTTAGTTTCACCCATTTTTAAACTCACTACTAATGGTGTAATCTCTCTCTCTAACCCAAAGTGACTGGGGAATAGATTAGAATCATAGCATTCTCACATTGCTGTGGAGGAAGGATGAAACTGCACTTACATGTAAAATACATTTACCTCATATCCTGGAAACACTTTAAGACAATTCAATTTATTAACATTCCCACAAGCCAGACCTGCCTCTCAAACATGTTTTCTTGACATGCACAACTTAAATCTAGTAACTGAAAATATTAGAATGCTGTATTATAAACAATATTGAACACCACAAAACACAAAGGATCTAGAAATAATGGAACATAGGCAAGCTAAGATTAATAAAGTGCTGGCACAAACTAGCAATTTTCCTGTAAGACAACAAATAGGATTAAATGGTACGTACACATGGGCTAGGCTTTACTGCATCACTTGGGAAGAAGCCCAGTTCTCCTGTCGTTAGATTTCTGCCCTAGAAAAAAAAAAACATTTTTGAGACATGAGGATTAACAGTAAACAATTCTCGGTGGTTTAGGAAGATAAGAGTTTATCAAAGAAAGTCCTTAAAATAAAAATGCTCATCTAATAATTAAAAAAAAAAAAAAAAACAACTGTTGAATAACATTTATAACATTTTATGTAATTAACTAATAATTATAGATTATATGCCTGGAAGTTTTGTAGAATAAAACACAATAAAGTGAACTCAGAGCCTGAGTTGTAATATACTATCAGCGTTTCACAATGAAAGAAAGAACAAGAACTTAGCTAGCATTATAATCTCAAAATTAACTTTTTTTTTAACCACACGTACCTTTTTTTTTTTTTTTTTACCACACATCTGCAACATAAAAAGTTAAAAGTGGAGCATTTTATACTGTCTGCCTGAATTCATATCCTTATATTGTATTTACCCCATGTGAATCCCTCTTAATTACAACCTGAATTTATTAACATAGCTCCAAAAGTCTCCCATCTTGATGATCCCTATTTACCATAGTTAACCTTAACAGAAGAGCAAGTGATATCACAGTCAGTAATACCAGGCAATAAAAAAAATATATTAATGAGAAAGAGACTTGAAGGAACACAATTAAACAGCCTTGTATGTGCCCACACACCACCCCACTGTTATTCGTGAGAAACATTTATATTAATTAAAAGAAGATGAAATACATGATGAAACACATTCAATGTATATCAACTAGAAATCAGCCAAAGACCAAACTCTGATTAGCTCAGGGATGGAGATCAATGTGTACAGTCTGACAGTGCAAAGAAATACGTAATTTTAAATGTTCTTCACTTTCGTAATGTTCATGATGTTTCCAAGTGCTATGTCCTTCAGGTCAAAAATACAGCCTAGATACTTACAGGATTTCTGAAGGATGCTAAATGTCTATTGAAATTAAAAATGGCAAAATACTACATAATCAGTGGACATACTAACATGAGACAGCATTAATACTCCCCTGTTGCTTGCACAGAAGCATCTGCACATACAACTATTCTACAATTTGCTTAGATGTCATTACTCATCAGAAGATGCTGTGGGACACAGACATGTTTTGTTGGATAAGGAAAGTCTACAAGTATAGTATACGTTCTATGGACAACATCTCAAAACCAAAAGTAAAAGTAGTAATAGTCACATGGATGGACTCTCTTGTCATAGAAGAATATCACTGCCATCGCTAAGGAACCTATTCAAGAGCTGTGATCAGTACAAAGCTTGCAAAAGCACAAATGTAAAATAAGCATTGAAACAATCTCAAAAAAGGCTTTGCCTTCTGAAAAAATGCTTTAACATAAGGTAAATTCAGGCAGCTTTGCTAGTTAAATATAACAAAATCTTTAAACATAACATGCTTTGATTTATTTCAGATTACTCAAGGGAAGTGCTCGAATTAAAACATTCTGTAGATAATGAGCCAGTACAAATAATTTGGTAATGTGCTTAAGATACTAGGTTAATTTGTTCACCTTTAGAAATCCTAG